TTGCATTATCATAACTTATTTTTGAGTTGTTTTCAGATTTTTATCTAAAATGAAAGTTTATCTGTTAAAGATAGAAAAGTGCATCTGTTCTTATTACTTTTATTTTTGTAGAGATCTTTTTACTTGCAATGCTGATTTTGAATGAAATAAATATTTAGACAATTTTTCCAGAAGTACTTTTTACAGATTTTTATATTTAATTTGTATTATTTTGTATCATAAAAGTTCCATTATTAGAAATAACTGTAATCTCTACTTAAATTATAATTTTTTTTATTCTTAACTTTTTTATATAATAAAAAAGTTAGACACAAGTATATTATACTTGTATTTGCATGAACTTTATTTTTTCTTAATATTAAATGTAATGAAAATACCTCTCCATTTAAATGCATTTTTGTTTTTTTGGTTTTTTTTGTCTTGGATACAAGCCTTAGAAATTGCCGAAACCTGCATTTTAATCTAACATATTAACTTAGTTCATACTTCTCTTCGTCCCAGCTCCAAGCCATGTGGCTCCTAGCCTCCTAGATCTATGCCCATTTAAGTACAGCCTAAAATATATATACATTATCTTGTATTAAATTCTTGTTTTAAAGTTTGATGGTAAACAATTTGAGTAATAATTTGTAATATTATTTAACTGATTAAATCACTTTGGATAAAATTAATTTGTGGACTTTCTTGCTTAAAGTTTAAACTAATTAAGTAATTTATTAACATGTGTGAAATTAAAACTAAAAATAAAATATTCAATGCATCTTTATTTTTTTTATTATCATCATCATAATCATATAAACAAATAGATTATCTTCAAGTTTCAACCCAGTGTTACATTATGTCTCAAACTATTCTGATAAAGATGTCATTTTTATTTTTTATGTAAAATGTTTTTGAGTCAATTCAATTCATCTTCAGATACAACTCCAAACTCAATTGAATATAACTGACTTTCTAACTTCCAAACATCAGTGGAACTTCAAATGTTAGTAAGTGTGACCTCATATTCTGGAAAAACAACAATTAGGGCAATATTTTAACTTAAGAATACATTGTAAAATCTTTTTCATTTATATAACCATAACCAGAAAATGTGGAAGAAAAAAGACATTGAATACAACATAATTTGCCATTTTTTCTCTGTATTTTCTGTTTGTAGTTATCATCTTTGAAGTTCTATGAGGTCCTTGACAGGTTCGAACATCACAAAAATTTGTGTTGAAATTATTGTTTTAAAGAATGAAAGAAAGAAAAAAAATAGAAGCTAGACATTTTTTGGTTCAAAGATGCAACCTTTGTAAACAAGAAAAAGAGGAATGTAAGTCCTAAGATCAATTATCTCCGGTTGGGAGATTGAGTTAGACTTCGATTCTGATCTCTCCTGCAATTTAAGTTGCGATCCCATTACACAAAGTAATGAGTTATTGACCACTTAGAGAGTGAGAATGAGGGCAAATGACTAATCAGAATGGGCAATCGAGGATGGGAGATTGATATAATCCCCAGACTTCAATGACAAGGGGTGCCCAATGGGGAGAAAGCAAAGAGAGAAACACAGTTGTCTTTCAGTTATGTCATCTGATGAATCTGTGTCGCCCTACAATCTGAGTGAAATCATTATTGCCCTAACTCTCTGACATTTTACCCCCTTCATCCTGTGGATAACTTGCCTTGAACCTCTGACTGCTGAACATCACCTTGTCACTGCCCTGGGGTTGTCAATGAAAGTCTTTTTGCAGGAAGATGAATGTTGATTAAAAAGAACTTTTCGAGATTATTATTGCCACCTACAGAAAGAACATTTTGTCTATCCAATGTAAGCAAATCTTTAAGCTCCAATAAACAGGTTTCTTTTGTAAAGATGACTCATATCTATGCCTCCACTGCTGCCTACATACAAAAACCCCTTTTTTATCCTGACGTGAGATTAAGATCTCCCCCCAATCAGCAAACTCACAATTCCACTGATGTTCAGAAAGTAGAATGTTAGTTATATTCAATTTAGTTTGGCATTGTATCTGAAGATGAATCAAATCGGCTCAAAAACATATGGCAGAAATAAAAATGACCTGATCTGATAAAGAAAAGCATTTTGAGATGTCAAAAATAAAAAATATATTTTTAAATTCAGATTTTTAATTTGAGTGTTCAAAATGCTATCACTTATAACATTATAATCAAACCAGTAGATAGAATAGATCTGTATGGGAAGTAGTCTTGGATCTTGTACAAAGGAAAACCCCAAAATTTAATCACTTATGTGAAACATATGACACAATTCTGATAAAATTTTTATTTTAGAAAGCTGAAAAACAATTTATATAAGAATTTAAAAAAAAAACTACTAAAAAATGAAATAAAGTTATATAAATAACAACTATTGCTCCATAAATGAAGCAAAACTGCTTCCACTACCATTACTACTAGAAGAATGATGAAAGTAACAAGTTGTTCTACAGTATATCCAAACAAAATTATGCAGCCAAATTTTACACAAAGGAAACAAGTCTTTAGTTTTTTTATGTGTAGTCTATTAAAAGAATGACATATCACTTTTAGTAGTCTACAAAAAAGATTGGGAGGTATTTTGTTTAATCACAGTGAGATTAGTTGTTATCTATGTAACTCTATATCAGTGATAGCAAACCTTTCTCCAAACAGTGGGTCAAAATTGAATTTGAAATTTATTAATTCTGAATGAGACAAATATTTAATTTGAGTAATTAAAAGTACCAAAATAACCTGGAACAAATATTTCATTTAATAGGAAATCTTTTGTTGTTTATTGGATGATAATTTTTCTCTCTGAGGTTTACAATTAGTGACTTTTCAGACTTTTTGTGACACATTTATAGGACTCCTATAACTAGGAGCTTTATATGTAGACTTTCACATTACATATGTAAAGTTTGAAATCTATCAAATATTTTTCATAATTTATAAAAATGTAATACTTTCTAAACATTCAATGTTGTACCTTAAAATCATTATACAACATCACAGTTTTCCATCATATTGTTTATTATATTGTTGTGGAATACTTTGTTATTTTTCACATATTTTAAATTGTAAAACCAACAAAATATTTTAACAATTGTTCTTTCTTTTATTGATTTCATTTGTATATATATATATATATATACATATATATTTAATACATTTTACCTTTTGAGGAGAGATTGGATTCAACATTGTAATTAGCCAGAATGCCATTGCACTTTTCTTGGGGCCCAATTATAAGTGTAAGGATAACCAGAGATGCATGAATGCTATCTATGCTGATCAACATTACTTCATAAAATATCTTATTATACAAGCTATAATCTTTCAAACATGTTGGGAAAAGAATCAAATTCATTGAGTTTTAGTTAAAACTATATATTTTATCAAACTGTAAAATTTTATTAATTACAATATTTTTTTTAATAAAGACTGTGCCATCTCCTATTAATCTGCCCCATTGTGTTGAATTTGAAATATCACAGTTTCAGCATCATTAACCATTTTTGTCAATCTTTGAATTTGGACATGCACTAACTGGCAAAATTGGTATATTTAACTAATAGTTACAAGTAAAGTAACAAATTAATTTTATCCACGCAGCATTCAGATATAGTAATTTTTGAGTTTTGATTCACTTTAAGAAGGTTTAGCTGTTGTATGATATCGGGCTATATAACGGCATACACCAGTTGTTGGTGCTTTATTATAATGTATCTGGTGTTTGTTGAGTTGTTTATATTTGTATAAAGCCTGTTACTTCTGATGTTTTGGCTAACTTAAAATTAATTATCAATTTTTCTGAATGACTATGACATTGTAATAAAAAAATTTGAATTTGAATATGGTCACCACAGAAATGCAATTTCACCTATAAAAAGTATTCATGTAGAGCTGATGATGTACAGATATTTTCTTCAGTAATAATGTAATCTACATTTATTACTGGGCAGAAAGTTTTAAAACTGTAGGACCTACTGCATGTTATACATTACTGCTTATGAGGATTGTCATAAAACAAATGTATTTTTATTTTACACTGATTTTAATTGTTACTAATGGCTTTGAGTTAAACAGCAAGGTCGCTCTCTTTACTCTTATGATTTCAGTCATAACCATATTTAAAAACTGTCAGGTTAATCTGCCACACCCTGTAGAACTTTCAAAATACAGACAGACATACAACAAATAGAGTATGACAGTTGGATATTATAGCATTTAATTCAATTTAGTTTCATTGGATTAAAAATTTTTCAACTTTATCATTTTTATAAATATTTGTGAATTTGGATTAATGTGTAAAAGTGTATTGAAAAAATTAAATAGTTTCTAGGTGTTTTTTTGGACTACATGTTTTTTTTCTGGTTATTTGAAGAGATGCATCAGCTAAAAAGGTTGAGAAACATTAGTTTATTAGATGAAAAGTATACCTAAGACTCTATATAGTAATTAAATGATGCTTGCCAGATTTTTATTTGAGCTTTTTAATAGATAAACAGTTACATTTGGCTACAGCATGCTTCAGAACTTTTGTATTTTATACAAAATAGAAGTTGAGTTGGGAATATTTAATTTGGTTAAATGTCAATAATCAATGTGCTCATATGCTGACTGAATGGATAAAATTGATTTTTCCAAGATTTTTTTTCTTCTTATTTATTTCAGATTTATGAACATATTCCTAATTGATTGAAGTGTGCTGTATTCAAAACATAGTTATTAATTTTTTGAGGAGTTAATACATCAGACTTAAAATATTAATATTTTTTATTCTATTGTTAATCACATATTTTACAAAATTAAACAGTTTTCTTTCAAAATCTAGATTTCAAATATTTCATAGAATTGTTAGAAAATGCTACTTTGATTACTTAAATATTCTTTCATTTTATTATAATTTTAAAATTTTAACCAATAGTGGTTTTGTTGATACTATTTAAGTTTTATTGTTAATCTTGTTTGTGTATTACTGTAATTAATTTTATTTATTATTTTTTCAGCTCAAACAATCAGTTCAAGATCAAATCGAGAAAGAAATCAACAGTCCACAAGATGCTGCGAGTGATCGTAAGTGCAGCAGCAGTATTTCTCATGCTTTCAATCAAATTTAACCCAAATAATATTTTTCTATTGCTTCCTTACTTCTTAGAAGGAAACTACATATTTTAGAGCTAGTATAAATCTTCAATTATCATTATACATTAAATCAAAAATACTAACTATAAATTATAGTATCTGAAAAATTAATTTCATCTGATAAAGAAATTTGTGTTGTGGTACACTTCTAAGTGCAAATTTAATGAGTAATTTGAAAAATCTGTAGCAACTAGAAATCACTAAGCAATGATTTGTCAAAAACCTGTTTATAAGAAACAAGTATAAATAGTTTTTGTAGTACTACAGAGGAAGACATTTATAAATATTAGAGGAAAAGGTGGTATTATGGAACACTGCAGGTATTATGGAACCACTCCATTTTGAACTGATAATAAAGGCCAACTGTAGCGGATTGTGGCCGAACTGAACTAAGCAGACATCCGTAGCAAGGGTAAAACCCATTTCACTTCAGTTAAACAGTTGTCCGTAGTGAATCAGTATATTTGTGTTTTTTGAAATTCGAAAGTTTTGAATGCTAAGTGAATTTAATTATTTTTAAAATATAAATTGTGTAGTTGTAGGTTCAATGGTTCATGTATTCCGTTTCAGAGACTTAGGGGTATATATTAATCTGTGTGATGTTCACATTTTTTAAATTTTGGTCTTGACAGACAGAAGTTAATTCAAGATGGCGATTCCATTGGTGCTTTTAATATGGAACTTAACCCCTCCGAATTCTCTCTTTGCAAGCAGACATTTGTCCGGAGCAATTTGTGAAAAAGACACTAGGTAGAAAGCCAATTCTTCCCGAGAATATCGAAAAAGAGCTGCTGGAATATATATTGCTGATGAAGGTCATATTTTTCTATTATAAAAGCATTTTTTCGATAAAATGCATTGGAGTAAATAATTTCATAATTATTTAACATTCTTTGTACTTTCCTATTTGTTTTGGATACATTAAAGCATTTTTTGAAAACATACAGTAAGGTTCCATATTACCACCCAATTTTCTCTAAGCCTACTTTCTGACTTTTTATACAAAAGCCTTCAAAAACCATACTTATAGTTACACTAGCAAAAAATGCAATTAGGAACATTTAGTTTAATAGTTACCAGTATTTTTTGCACAAAAAATGTGGGTGTAGTTATGATACTTTATTTACAATTCACTAAAATGAAAATGGGGCTCCATAATACCACCTTCTCCTCCTACTATAATTTGATAAATGCATATCAATTTTACAGTAGTGTAATTGTTCTATGCTTATTTTTTGAATAAATATGTTGACAAAATAGCTTCCCTCTTAGTTTCTAATGATAAATATTTTGGAATCTTTTTTTGTTTTAATATTGGTTTCATTCCAAAATTTATTGATGTGTAAAAACCATAATTATTTTAAAAACAGTTTAATCCGTTTTTTTAAATACATTTTTATATAAATGTAGACATTTGTGTATGAATCTTAATTAAATATAAAGAAACAATCCAGCAATGAGTCGTATGACTTTCCTGGCTATTATGAGATCACCTTATTTAAAAAATATCTTTTATAATTTAAATTAAAATATAACTTAATAAAATTGTGTGTGGTGCCATCTGTTATGAGATTTTGTTATAAAAACGTTTATATTTTTAATTATTATAAAATAGCAAAAAGCTTAATTTTGAGGGTAGGAATGAGTTTTATAAAAAAAGTATAAATGTTAATNATCTTAATTAAATATAAAGAAACAATCCAGCAATGAGTCGTATGACTTTCCTGGCTATTATGAGATCACCTTATTTAAAAAATATCTTTTATAATTTAAATTAAAATATAACTTAATAAAATTGTGTGTGGTGCCATCTGTTATGAGATTTTCGTCTGACGACTGTAGGCTTAAAGTGTATCTCCTAGTGCACCTAGTATATCTCCTAGACCAGTTCCTTTTTTTTAAAAACGTTTATATTTTTAATTATTATAAAATAGCAAAAAGCTTAATTTTGAGGGTAGGAATGAGTTTTATAAAAAAAGTATAAATGTTAATAATGAGTGTAATCATCAAGTCTGACCCTATTGGAGATACACACTTTTTAGCTCCCTACCCCCTCAACCTTTAACCACCAAAATTTAATAGCATCAATGCCCCCTATATACAAGCCACCATGCCTAATTTTGATACTTAATATATACTCTATCCTGAGATATTAAGCAAAATAGATGCTAACACACACACATACATATATGGATTCATGGAACTTGTTTTTGCTTCTTTTGGATTCAGGCGGTCTCAAAACGTGGAGAATTGCAAAAAATACTTAAGGTCAAATTTGACATGATTTCCATACTTTTCCTTGTTATGTATACATAACAACCAGGAAAGTAACAAGTGGACTCATTTTAATTTATATTTAATTTTAAAAAACTTTCAAATAATATTTCATCAGTTTATTATTTTATTTGTTAGTCTTCAGACTGATGCATACAGAGAGAAAATTTAACAGAACAATTAGTGTTAGCAGCATGGGCGTAGCCAGGAAGGGGCATAGGTGGGAATGGCCCCCCAGTTAACCTGGTGTCCTCCTCAGAAAATTACAGCTGAAAAAGTGTTGAGCCAATTTGCAAAAACAAATAAAAAGCTGAAGCTAATTTAATTGGGTGTAGTGTACCCACTGAAACTCTAGATTAGGTATGGCCAACATATGGCCCACAATTAATCTCTGAATATTGGACTTAACTTCAAATAATTGCTTGAATGGGTCTGTGATAATTCCTCATATCCTCACAATGTGAAGTTATGGGAAAGTTGAGAAATTCTAACCATTAAGAAAAAAAAAAAAGATCAACAGCTTTCTGTGTCCAATGTGAAAAGTGTATCTCTAATTTCTATGTACAGTTTAGTCTATGTACGGGTGACGCCACAATAAAATCTCACATTACCTGAAAATCTTGCTAGGGCTGCCTCTGGTTTGGGCAGTGAAAAAAGTTTTCTTTCCAATTTGGCCTGGAGGAAAAAACTGTTGGCTAAAAAACCTGGTCTATATTTAGATTAAAGACGGTGATCTATATTAACGAATGCTAAAAAAAATAATTGATTGGTTAATTTTTGTTTAAGGGGTTGTTAGAGTTTGATATTAATGTTACAAGAATGTATGATTAAAGGAAGTTTCATATTTTGTGTGTGTTAAGTTATTGTCGATTCTTATGGAAATTTCATTTTAATGAACAATAATTTGAAATAATTCAATTTTGTGTCAGGTTGGCCTCTACTAAACATAACAAAACTCTGGCTATGCCAATGGTCAGCAGTGATTCCATTAATTTTCAGTTTGACAGTTGACATATATTGTTAGATGAGCATGTTGTGACAAAAATGTATGCTGACCAGTGTAGTATAGAATATCTGTAGTGTAGTACAAATGTACTGATGGGCACATGGGTGGACACCCATGTACCCATCAGTACATTTTCAAAATGATGACAAAAATTCACAATTATTTTTAATGAATTTTAGTCTCAAAAAGTTTACATAATTGTGTTGAAAAAAGTGAATACTGTTTGGTACATAGTAAAGTCCTTGTATACTTAAATGTGAACAGTACATAACATATGGCACACAGTAATGAATGTATCATGAAGGAAAATGAGAACCAAACAATTGCTGGATTATATCAGACTATATAATCTGGCATTTATTTGCCTTTAGTATATAACTATCAGGTTTTAATTGTTGATAGAAAAATGTGAAATACACATGCTATAAACACACAAATGAACACATGATAAATACATGTTTTACAGTCTTTGCTTGATGTTCATGTTAGCATTTCACACTTTCTATTCAGGCTATTCATATATACAGGATGTCCTTTCGTAGTAAATCAAACAAGCTGTACAACTTTGTAATTGACTTTTTTCTGTATTGCGTGCTGTTTGAGATAGGAGTGTTAACTTCTGAATTTTACCACATAGCCACTTTACTACAGTAGTCACCACTGAACTTAGACCAGACCACAGTTAACATGTCATTCAATAAATAGATTTAAAAACAAGTAGCTTTGATTCATTGCATGAATGTTTTATATAATTTAGAACAAATATGCAGTAATTAATCTTTATTTTTGCTAAATATCAACTTGCTATCTTGCAGGTTTAACAAAATTAAGCCAGTCAAACTTGAGTCACAGGCATCAAAAAACATAGACCACTGCATGTTTAATATTTTATTGCATCATCTTTGTGACCAAAACACCTACCATACATTTCGGCATGCTGTTGACTAGGTGTTCACATTTATTTGCCGTTATAGATTTCCAGACAGTTAAGATGGAAGCTTTTAGTCCTTCAACTGTCCAAGGACATATTTTTCGCAGACATCTCTTCGTAATGTTCTATACATTCTTGATTGGTAAAAGATATGGGCTGCTGGATGGCCAAGAAAGATCTACTATGTTCTTTTCTGCAAGCCACTGATTTGTTTTTCTGCTTGTATGACATGTGGCCCCATCCTGCTGGAAAATGCAGATTCTATTTGGATATAGCTTTGCTATGGACAGAAGTAAATACTGTTGTAGAATGTTAATATATTGCTCTGAAGCAAGTATTCCATCATGTCAAGTGACGCATACCACTGGCACTCATACATCCATGAAGCTGGCAGGAAACTTCACTGAGTGATATAACAATGATGGCTCATTAGCTTGACTGGCAGATCGAATGACACGTTTCCTTTTGTCTGTTGCTGATAATTCAAAGTTTGATTTATCAGACCACAGAATTTCATGCCACTTTTGTTGAGACCAGGAAAGATGTTCTTTGGCTCACTATATCTGTTTCTTCTTTTGATGTGCTGTTAGCAAAGGTTTTTCACATGCTGCATAGAACTGGAAATGCATTTTTTGCAGTCTCCTGCAAGCTGTCAAAACAGATACATTTTTTCCAGTTGTATCATTCTATATTATAGTTACATTCAATGTCTGTGGCACA